CACCCTCTTTATTTTTGTCCCTTCTTTATCCATTTCTTACCCTTACCATTCATCATCATCTATTCTTATTCATCATATCCTCTTTCTTTATTTCCATTCTTCTATATCTCCTTTATTTTTTTTTTACTCTCATTTATTCTCTTTATCCTTTATTTATCAGTACATTTTCACCATTGTAATTCTTTTTTATTTTTATTATTAGATTACCTTCATTGTGTTGTTTACTGCTAGTCACGTTAAAATAAAATTTTTGATTTTGAATTTATTAATCAATCTCTTTAATAAACATAAAATAAACTCACATCACTATAAAGTATACTTTTGCTTTTAGTTTAACAGTGTATTTAATATAATAAATTTCAATAAATAAGATTATCTTGCGAAAAAATTTTTGTTAAAAAAATTATAATATTTGAATCACGTGATCCAATTTTAAGCTGTACTAATTTTTTTTGTACAGTACAACACTTATATATTATATGCACTGTACTGTACTGCATGAGCTTTTTCTTAATTCAATCGGTTTCAGTACAGTTTATCTATGATCTATCTACCTATAAAATAATTTATTTTTATTTTTATCATGAAGACGGAAACCGGGATTACAAGCAACTGTTAGAAGAACGAATTACAAAAACAAAACTAAACTAAGCACCTATAAAATAAATGTATTATGATTTATGTTAGTTATATTATAAACGTGATTAGTCATGTGATACTATAAGTCACGTGCATATTATGATTTGTTGTATGATTTGAATTTTTTTTAAAAAAAGTAGTTGAAATAACTGTATTTAATCACAAAATTAATACACGAGTTTTTTGTAACAAATAATAAAAGGCTATTTATATAAGTTATGAAATGTCTAATTAAACCGGTCTCTATACAAACCGATTTAAATATTCAAACCGGGTTTATGTTAGAAACTGGTCACCGGATTTTTCTCGGTCTCCGGACCGATACGAGCTCCAACTCTTTATAAATATAGAACTATATGTATCATCGACAATTAGTTTAGCTAAATTTAGTTAATATAAGATGTCAATACAATACTTTTGGACATTACTTTTACAGTGTCGAGCAATGCAACGTAACGTAGTAATCGCATGATTGAATAACATATAAAAAAGGTATCATTTTGTTTTTTATTCTGAAATATAACTCTGAATGAGTTCTGAAATGGATCCTGAAATAGATGTTCGACATCCAGTTAGTATCCTCTTAATGGGAAAAACAGGCAAGTCTTTTTTACTTTCTTGCTTCTCGTTAATTATAAGAGCTATTCCTTATAGGGACAGGGAAAGTACATTAGGTAACTACACTAGGTAACCTGCTTCTCCGGCATAATGAACTTTTTGAAGTTTCAGACGGATGGGTAAGTGATATTCTTGAAATTTATTTTTTATCAGTATTAAGAAAGGAAATGATAAAAATAACTAAATATATAGGATTCGAAAACGAAAAAATATTAACGTTGTCAATTAACGGCAATATGTGGCACACCTGGGCTTTTCGGCACTCATATAAAGATGACTCTCTTAAGGAAATTGCCGAATTCGCCCATAAATACACCTATGGGGTCAAGACAATCAATTTTTCTTGTTGTGAGATAATAAGTATGCAGCAAATACATTATCGCAATGCAAAGCTGACGTATGGTCTTTTAATTAAAGGAATAATATTAGTCAATGTAAAATAGACAATATGGTAATATATGAACGACAAAGCATTTTAAATGAAAGTGATTAAATTCATTTTCTTGTTCTATAGCATTTTATTGTTCATTTTATCATTCTTTATATAATTTGTTAAACAAATGGTTTTATATAATATATCGCAACTATAAACACTAGTTATGATATGTACTGTATAACTATATATATATAATTTGGGCAAAATTATTTCAAAGCTGCTTATTCAATAATTATGTAAAAGTAGTGTCAAAATTTCCTAATAATATTAAATAGTTCTATTATTAACATAATGAATCACGCTACACTTTTAAAATAACGTGATATTTTTTGGAATAAATAATTTCACATTTAAAATCCTCTATCCTTTTTGTAATTGATTTAATCTCTAGTTTATAGTATTTTATTACTTATAATTTTTTTTTTGTATTTATTAAGTAATCTACTCGAGTTCGACTAATAGTAGTTAGAGGAACTTGTCTAATCATATATCAATATATATAGTGTTTTACGCATAATTTTAATAAATTGCATATTCTTATTACATTTAATTTTTTAAAATAAAAGTAAGAAATGATGTATTAATATTTTTAAATATTAATATTTCATATATTTATACTTATTTGAATTTCTGAAGAGGGTAAATTATATTTATTAACGCAATTTCTTAACGAAATTTCCTTTTTTCTTAATAAATATACTAGCAGTCGCCCGTTGCTTCGCACCGGGACCAATGAGTTTGTTTAAATAGAAAAATTAGTATTATAATGTAATACTAAGTTAATTAAAGATGTTTATAGTAGTTTTTTGTTTTTAAATTATATTTATAATATTAGAATGATATAAATTATATTTACTATAATATAGCTTATATTAATGATTTGACGTTTGCGATTTAATAATTTTTCACCTAGGGTGATTGAACCTATATAATTTACCCGGTGATATGACCTCATTATTAAATTTGTACATTAAATTTTATTGGCTAATTAATGAGCTGATCATTTTATATTTGTGAATTCATTTTTTTTGGTCTTTCGGTTCTTCTTTGTAACTACTAAGGTATGTTTTTTATTTTTTTGTTTTTGTTTATTTATTACATGTAATTTCCGTTCCCTACTAACTTTATTTTTTCTTTTAGTTTTATGCAAACTATTTGTCCAGCGTTCAATTTAATTGAAAAAATCTTACTACGTTGGTCAATTTTCCTATATCTAATATGTTATGTTGATTTTTTTTAAAAAAATAATAATTTTGTAAATATATATTTAATATAGTATTTTATTTTTTATTTAATAATAATAAAAAATTGAAAGAAAAAGAAAAAAAAATTTAAAAAAAATTTGGGGGAAGAAAAAGGATATCGATCCAAAAGAGTGAAAAAAAAAAATTTTTTTTTTAAAAAAATAACAATACGGTCTAAAAAAAAAGATCAAAATAAAATAAAATAAAATAAATTGGTCTTAAAAGACCAAAACAATGAGGATTATTTAATAAAAAACTGAAATAAAAGGGAGAAAAAATTTTTTTCGGTTTGAAAAGTTTAAAAAAAAAGGAACCAAAAAAAGTTAAAAATATTTGAAAAAAAAAATCGAACAAAAAAAATTAATAATCGAATAGTTTTTGACCATAAATAATTATATGGCATGGAATTTCAAGTTACACAATTCAAATTATTTATACGGAGACAAATCCAAACGTCAGACAAATTTTTTTTGTTATATAGATAAGTAGATGTGTTATATAGATGGAAATTTGATGCAAATCTTATTATTACACGAAGGAGATGTTGCAGTATTGTAGAATTTATTATTTATTTATGTGTTTACAAATACATTATTTATTGATATAAAAACAAAAATACCATCATAATGTTCTATTGTTAAAAAAATCTATATTAATCTATATAATTGAAAAATACATCTCAAAAAAAAACACCTGTTATAGGGATCTATCATTATTGCTAAAGATAGTTAGAAAAATGTCAGTTACCGATCAAAAAATTTATTTTTCTATATTAAAATTTATTTATTATATAGAATATAGATTATACTGATCTATTGTTATTCCTATAAAAGTTAATTACCTATCATTTATAAGTATTAGTGAAAGGGTGATTACCGAGAATAAAAATTAATTCTTACGTACATTAGTAAATTAGAATGAATTTGCCGATCAAGTGGTCTTAACTATTAAGCGTAGATCAGGCGCGATAGATCATATTAAATGTTACACAACATTAGTAATTAAACATTGTATATATCGATCAGAACGTAATAGGTCAGGTGCAGAGGCGCAGATGAACAACACATTGGATAATCCTATAGGCTAATCTAAACGTTAATCACATCAAACACAATTTTTTTTAATTATATAGATATATATTTATTAATTAACATAACTGATAATATAATTAAGGGTGGTCTGCCAAGAGATTTGTGTTACCTTAAAAATGAAATTTTATATATATTTATCATCTTTAGTGTAATAAACAATTTCCTTTTTCCAAAAAAATCACCTTTGTTAGAAATTTGTGCGACCTAAATGACTGTTCATTATTATTATATATATATTTAGTATCTGATTCAGTATCTGATTCTGATTCTGATACTGATACCGAAGAGGCCTGTAATTTTTTCTACGAATTAAAGTTATTTAAATAAAAAAAAAAGAATGGCAGATCACCCGGGAATTGTGGCTGATTTGGAAAAATTTGTAGATCAGCATATTTACCGATGACATTTGTTTTTTGCCAATTTTTTTAATTAACCAATTTTATTTTAAACAATTTTTTTCTAATTAACTAACAATCTTCCATTTAACAATATTATTATTTTTTTGTTTGAATATTATCAATCAAGCCACTTCTTTTTCTACCATATTATGTTTATTTTTGTGGCTTTGAAATGACTGAAATAGAACAATACTAATAGATCACATTGGCAATTTAGTTTACTAACTAAAAACAATTCATCTTGAATTGGAATAGTATGATAGTTCAAATAAACAATATTAATTACTGACTAATAGCAACTTTTTCCGATTTTAATAATCAGTTTTTAACCAGATTTTGGCAAATTTTTTTATAAAAAATCTAACCAGTAGTTTATAATTTTTAATTATTCATTTTATATTTGCTATTATTTTATTTTAAAACTATTTATAGTTTTTGAAATTACAATTTTTTTTAAAATAATCATATGAACAAAGGTAAAATAAAACGTCGATCATGTAATACAAGTAATACAAGTCCTTTTTTTTCCTTTTCTTTTTTTTAAAAAAATTTTTTTTTTTCTTTTTAAAAAAAAATGTCCTTTGAATATTTTCAGGAACTTGCTGATGATTATGAAAATTTACTTAAAACTGATGAAGAATATAACGTTATTATCTACGCCGGTGAAAATAAAAATGTAGAAGAAATACATTCACATTCAATTATTTTATGTATCAGGTCTCAATATTTTCGTACGGCTTTTTCTAAAGAATTGACCAAGAAAAAGGATGGAAAATATATTTTTAATTTTCCTAACATTTCTCCTCAATTTTTTAAAATTATTTTAAGGTAATAAAAAACAAGTAATAATAAAGTTAAAAGTAAACATAATATTATATACAGTCTATGTCAAAATTAATGACGCAATATTCATTTAATATTTAGGTTTATTTATTGTGGAAAGATAGATTTGGAGAAATTGCCGGGACCAGATATTCTAAAGCTTTTGGCGACAGCGGATGAACTTAAAATCCAAAGACTAGTGATTTGTATTCAGGAATATTTTATTAAACATCAACATGAATTTTTACAACAAAATCCTACCGAAATTCTTGAAACAATCTATTTACATGAAACTTTTACAGATTTATGGAATTATTGTCTTGAAGTAATTTGTACTAAACCAGATTTATTATTTAAATCTGATAAATTCATCAATTTAAAAGCACCTTTATTAGAATTACTTTTAAAAAGAGATGATTTGTCATTGGATGAAATTATTATATGGAATAGCTTGATTAAGTGGTGTTTTTCTCAGCATCCTACTATTCAACAAGATGTTAATAAATGGAATAAAGAAGAAATTGTAATTATGGAAAGAACCATTCATAGATTTATTCCGTTAATAAGATTTTATCAAATCCCCTCAGCAGATTTTGTTACTAAAGTATATCCTTTTAAAGAAATATTGCCAAAGGATATAGTTAATAGTATACTTGTATTTCACATGGCACCAGATGAGAAATTGAATGTGGATTTACAATCTCCCAGGAAACCAAAATGTGTTTATGATTCTGTTATCGTTGGTAACAAACATTTTGCTATTTTTTCTAGCTGGATTGAAAAGAAAAATGAGTCATACTATGATGTAAAGAATGTTCCTTATAATTTCAATTTACTTTATCGTGCTAGTAGGGATGGTAATACAATTGCGACATTTCATGCTAAATGTGATAATAAAGGAGCTACTATAGTTATAGTAAAGATTGCAAATTCGGAGCAAATAGTTGGAGGATACAATCTTCTTTATGGGGATTCAAATAGTGCATGGAAGTCTACAAGAGATAGCTTTATTTTCTCATTTGCAAATAAAGATAACCTACAAAGCGCAAAAGTAGGATATAGTAATGGTGATGAGTTTTCTATCTATGGTGGGAATATTAACTATGGTCCGTTGTTTGGTAGTGGAAATGATTTAGGTTTGTCTGTTAACAATGGATGGTATAGGAGTTATAGCAGTTCTTATCCTGATGTAGGTATACCGTTAAATAAATTTAAAACGGATGATTATGAAGTTTTTCTAGTTGTTAAGAAATAATCAAATTTGTGTATTCACGGTATACTTATAGGAAACTTTAATAATAAAGATTTTGATTTATGAATAACTAAATGGGTTGTTTACACACTAAAAACGCTAAGCGTTAAGTGACTTCATATTGAAATTATAATTTAATTATAAATTAATCATTCTTCTGATAATAAGAACAAATTTTGAATTTTTATTTATTTATTATTGAACTCGTTTCTTTGTATATTCATGATAATTTAATATGATGTGAATTTTTTTTTTTTTAGAATTTGTCTATGATAATAAAGGTTATAAATACCAAATCGAACCTGTGTCTCGTAGAGACTAGTATTCTTTATTATTCTAAAAAAAAAAATATTTTATCCCTATATTGGCCTGAATACGTAATAATTCGTGAGGTTTAAGATGACATTTTAACTTCTTTACAATATGTATACGGAAAGGATACGTTTTGTATACATTTTATGTACGTTTCTATAGATTCCGTATACAAATTTCGTATATTTAATAAGCAATTCATTTTTAAAAAAACTAATGTATACGAAATGTATACGGAAAAAATTAATCATACGGAATGTATACGGGATTTTTAAACTTTATTTATTTATTTATTTATTGTGAAGTTTGGATAGACAATTAAACAGGATATATACCCTCGAAAGGGATTTTATCCTACTTCTTGCTATCATCCATTACAGAACAGACCCGAACTTCTATATAAAAGGTATCTAGTCTAATCCTATGCTACTACCAACATGGGAATAGTGTCCATAAACAATTAGATGTCACGCACCAATCCGTATTTTCCTTTCAACCTAGCAGGTTGCCACCTGTGAATACTGTAAGAGGTGGAATGATTTACACTATTTTGAGTTGTTTAGTTACAAATCTCGTATCATAACACGAGATCACGTGATTGTTTATTGTTTGTTATGGTACGTTATAAACCCTTACTTTGATGAGTTTGATCTTCCGATCTTCCTTTCTTCCTTCCCTTTTCTCTTGTCTTATTTTTGTTATTTTTTCTAAATTTTTTTTCTTTTTTCGTCACCCCCCCTTTTAAAAAAAAATTTTTT